ATCTCCAAAATAATCCCACTGTTCTACATAAACTAGGTAATTGAATGATAGGACTGTTTCCTCAATATTTAAGGACATTGGGAATCTAATGCTGACCTTCATGTTACAAATCTCAGTGGTTTAGTAGGAAAAAAATGAATGTATTATTAATGTTAAATTTATAGGCTTCATGCATAAAAACTAATTTACATGTTTCATGCTTCTAACTGTCTTTGTGGGCTTCATGGTTAAAGCTTAGCTTTTGCTTTTATTCATCGATTACATATAAATGTTATAGACTCACTCCCCCTGTTATTTCACTGAAAACAAAAAGAAAAGCACTGAAATAAACACGTTAAGCAGACACTCCAGAAGGCCACCCCCCCACCCCCCTCTCTGTCGCTGGCCTGTTACTCTCTGTGCCCCCTGCTTTTCATTGCAGCTCCTGATACGGTGCCAAATAAACTCCAGCTAATGCGCCTTTCCGCCGCCTCCGCTATTCATCTCCCTGACATCTCCGCGCATTAATATTCATTAGCGAGTGGCATTTTGACAAACAAACACTCACACGCGCCGCTGTGCCGCGAACGCTGGGCTGAGAGAGGAGAGCGGAGTGAGGGTCATCTGAGCGCAAGCCCCATCCGCTCTGACCGCCAGCCCCTCAGCAGCAGGTACCTGACGCTGCCACTGCAGTGACCCTTTTTGTTCAGAGCCCCTAATAACAGGAACGAGCCCAGGCCTGATTTCTGCCAGAGATAAACTCAGAGACAAGAGCGCGAGAGAGAGAGAGAGAGAGAGAGAGAGAGAGAGAGAGAGAGGGAGAGAGAGAGAGAGAGAGAGAGAGAGAGAGTGAGAGAGAGAGAGCATCTGACTGTGCATAGAACAGAGAAGAACGGAGAGTTTATACAGAGAAGAGAGAAGAGGAAAGAAGAGAAAATGGAGAAAAAAGAAGAAAAGATGGAGAAGTGGAAATAAGACATGATGAGAAAAGAGGAAAGGACAAAGAAGAGAGAGAAAGGGAAAAGAGGAGAGAGGATGAAGAAGACAGGCAAGTAAAGAAAAGCAGACAGAGCAGAGTGGTGAAAGGATGGAGAAGAGAAGAAATTAAAGACAACACAGAATAAGAGAGAAAGAAAGAAGAGATAACAAAAAAGACAAGAAAATAGAAAACAGAGATGACGAAAGAATAGAGAAAAGAACAGAAGAGAAGAAAAGAGAAGAGAAAAAGGATGGAGAAGAAAAGAAAGTAAAGGCAATACTGAAAAGAAGAAAAGAGAAGAGAAGAGAAGAAAAGAGGAGAGACAGCAGAAATTAAAGGATGAGAAGAGAAAAAATAGGAAACGAGAAGAAAGCATGTACAGCAGAAGAAAACAAATGGAAGATAAGTGAACAGCAGTGAAGAAGGGATGGAGACGTACCGAAGAGAAGTGAAGAGAAGTGAAGAGAAGAGAAAGAATACAAAACAAGAAGAAAAAGGAAAGGATGTAGACCAGAGGAAAAGAAAGCAGATAGAAGAGAACAGAATAGACGTCAGAAAAGGATGGAGGACAGACGAATGAAGAGGACAAAAAGGAAGTTGAACAGAAGAAAAGAAGACAATAGAAAAAGACACAAGAAGAGAAAATAAGAAGGACCAGAGGAAAAGAAAGGAAAGAGGAGAGAACAGAAGTGAAAAAGGACAGACGAGAGAGGAAATAGAAAATGAGAAGAAAGGGAAGAGAAAACGGATGTTGAACAGAATAAAAAGAAAAAGAGAGAACAATAGACGAGAAGAGAAGAGAAGAGAAGAGAAAACAATAAGACAGAAGAAAGGATAGAGAAGAGAGGAATAGGAAACTAGAGAAGAAGGAGAGATGAATAAAAAAAGAAAAGGTAGAGAACAGTAGACACACAAGAGAGAAGAGAAGAAAAGAGAAGAGAAGAGAATGAGAAGAAAGAAAAAAGGATGGAGAACAGAATATGAAGCTAGAGAAGAAAAAAAGGGTAAACAGAAAAAAAGGAAAAAGAGAACAATAGACATACAGAAAGGACAGAGAAGAGAAGAGAAGAAAGAGAAGAGAAGAGAATGTGGAAGAAAGGAGAAGAGAAGAGAAAGAGAAGAGAGAGGATGGAGAGGAGAAGAGAAGAGAAGGTTGAAGAAAGAAGAAGAGAGGAGAAAGAAGAGAAAAAAGGATGGAGAAGAGAAGAGAAGGTAGAAGAAAGGAGACAAGAGGAGAAAGAGAAGAGAAAAAAGGATGGAGAAGAGAAGAGAAGGTGGAAGAATGGAGAAGAGAAGAGAAGAGAAGGTGGAAGAAAGGAGAAGAGAGGAGAAAGAGAAGAGAAAAAAGGACGGAGAAGAGAAGGTGGAAGAAAGGAGAAGAGAAGAGAACAGAAGAGAGGAGAAAGAGAAGAAATGATAGGGAAGAGCAGAGCTTGCACGCTGGATTGCCCACACATGTAGAGGAACCTGAGGCGCCTGCTGCTCCACATTTTTGCATTTATCTTTTTTCAGACTCCATCTGAGGCTGAAAGGCTAAAATCTCTCAGCCTGGCCTCCAGCTGACAAGCAGGATGTTGTTACTGAAATTTAGGGGTAATTTAAGACGCCGGAGTCTGGGGTCTGTGAATGGATCTCTTCCAGAAACTTCAGGGTAACACCTGTCCCATAAAAAAGCCATCAAATTGTTGCAGGTGTCCAAGTAGAAATAGATGTTCTCTGAGGACGAGATGAGCCCTGCTAAGCCTGAGAGGGCATATCAAAAAAGAAAAAAAAGAAAAGAAAAGAAGAAAGAAAAAAGCGAGGTAAATTATGATTCCACGATGCGTTCCAAACATGTGTTGGGTGTAGCTAATTCCAGAAAGTGCTTACGCACGCACTCTTGGGCCAGGGAGCTTAGCATGATCCACTGGGGCAAGACTCCATCTTCTGAATCACTAATAAACCTCGACATGGAAAGACTGTTTGGGTCGCTTCATTTAAAAGCGGCACTAGAGATTCCCGGGTATCGGAGACAAGGATCTATAACGTGCTTGCCCTGAGGGTTCTTGTTTACGACTGGTATCTAAGTTAGGTGAGGTCAGTACAATCCCTCTCCCTCATATGGGTACCATGTTGCTCTGTATTAGGCCAAAAGAGACGGGTCAGGCAGTGCTTCAAGAGCGAGTTTTTCACAGTGACCTTTACTGTAATGAACATCAGCAGCATTAATGCAAGAAGCAGCTCGGCCTGTCATACAAATTATGCCTGTGATGCTGAATTTAAGAGCGTTTCCTGTTTCCAAAACTGAGAGAAATTCTTCTGGTACGAGAAGAAAGAGGAAAAACCCTCACAGTTGGAGTAACTCAGTGCACACTGAGGGGGATTTAATCAGTACGAATGTTTTGAGGGCCAAGGAGCCTTTTTTCATTTTCAGAGGTAAACAGGTGCGGTTGATAAATTCTCAACACAAAGCGGTCAAGGAGCCTTCATCATGAGTGCTTTTCTGTGCCGACCAATTAGATCAAAAGCAAAGCAGGCCTTCAGTGAATATGTTTACAAGCAAAGATTTTTGCCAAGCCGAATAAATACATTCTGATTAAGATTAGATAGATTAAAACTGAGGTGTTTATATGTTCACTCTACTCAACAATCTGGAAAATCTCTGTTTACATGCTCAGTACAAGTAATGCGATCGAAAATGATGCGTATGTGTGGAGAACCACTTAGTGTAGACATTATTATTCTTCTATTTAACAGATTATTACAGGATTACCCACTTTGTTCAGTCAGGTAGGAATTGTATTCTGAATGGTGTTTACGTGGTGGTGTTTACATGGATGTGTTCTTTTCCGATTTAGCTATTAGTCGGATTATTAATGGATTATTAGGCTGCATGTGAATGTGGCTACTGACAGCTGGAATAAAGGAGGGGTTGGGACTAGTGGTCTCAGTCGACCCCCAAATGTATGACAAAGAGTTTGGTTCAGCTTGGTTTTCCTGCCAGCAGCCACTTGCTAGATATTAGTAGGTCACTTTCAGCCTTCAAATGCACTTTGAGATGCAGTGCATCTCACGTTCTTTGTGCAAGGCGAAAGCAATACCCCAGAATGGCACTTACCTAGTAAGGTCACATTGCATCACTGATGTGAAACACCACCCTTCCATAGCACCCCTGAAACTTTTCTGCTTTCCCAACCTAACTACAGTATCGCTAGTACAACATAGTGAATGTTTCTGATATCAGAAAACAGCCCTACAGTGTATACATACTTATATACGGTGTGTTTTACTTCACATACATGCCAAATTTTAGCCAGAAACATACATAATAAGATCCTGCTGGTGTGGGTTCATGCCAGTTTCCTCCCTCTCAATGATGTACTAATAGTGCACCCTTGCAGTAAAGACTGAATGATTATTATTCTTATTGACTTTTTTGTCAACTAGTAATAAAAAGGGAGTCGAATGCTTGGTTTACTAGTTGGCCCTTAGCATAGCTAAAGAAAAAACAACAGGAGAGTTTCAGATATCGAAGAAAAGTATTCTACAATAGTACCTACAAGTGGCTAGTAGTGTAGGCTTCATTCTGAGGTGGTAAAGAAATATTTTGGTGTATTTCAGGGTAGTCTTACAGAAGTTGACAGTGGAATTGGTTTAATCTCCTGTGAAGTACTACTAGGCTAACAAAGAACATTTGGCTCTATGTTTAGCAGAAAACCTGTTTTCTAGACTCTCCTCCTGAATGCTGACTGTTGCTCCTGCCATCGCCATGTTTCACTGCTAATATCAAGCAATGTGACTGTCCACAGCACTGACTGACAGAAGTATCAGACCAGTGGTTCTCAAACTGGTCCTCTAGGACTCGGTCCCTTTATTCTTGTGTGTTGCAAATTAGGTTGGAGCCAAAATCTGGACCAGTTTGAGAAGCACTGCACTAGACAACTAGTCTGCTATCACATTTGATGTCTACCTTATGGAAAAAGTATAGAGTCCACAAGATAATTTACATCCAGCAACGAAACAAAGGCAACAACCCATACAAACAGCCAATGGTGACGCTTACCTTTCCAGTCCGTGCCATTCTGCAGTGGCGCAGGAGGAGAGAGGCTCTTGGAAGGTTCCTTGTTGGCACTCTCCCTGGTCACCACCGAGCTTTTCTGCTTGCATTTGGGGGCATCCAGGGATTTGAGCCTCTTGGCATGCTTGGTGCCTTTGTAGTGGGCCAGCGCTTGGCTCTATGGAAGAAAGAAACAGTGGGGCCAAGCCACAGAGTGAGAGAGGGATGGGTTGGAAGCAACCACCAGCAAACTAACAGCTAGCATGTTCTCATCCCCAGCATCAAGTTAGTGGTCCACCAGATCTTTTTCCCAACTGCTGACTTTTAACATCAATCACTGGCTCATAGGTCATTCCTCTGTTTAATCTGCTAACCTCACATACATGTATGCAGCACTGTCCAGTGCTGAGGAGGATAGGTTCCCCTTCTGAGTCTTGGTTTCTCTCAGGTTCTATTGTAATAAGCCTTTTGCATCACTTTCAGGCACAAATTGGACACATCGTGCCTAAGCATTTCATGAAGGATTATTGTGCAAAATGTGGGAAGATCAGGCACAAAATAGGTGGATATATAAAAACTGTGGCTGATAACATATTCTGGGCAATTTACTAAAGTTTGGGCAACTAGTCCAGTTTAGCATGTAATTTTCTCCACCTTTTAAAACGAACCACAAATTTAGGTCTAAAAATTCTGGTATCAGGAGACTTCCTTTAATAGTAGCAGCAGATACAGTGGCTAGACAGAAGAACAAGCCTTGAACATGCTCTGGAAAGATTATTTACCATTAGAATAACTGTTTAAACTCTCGGGATCAGGTGCGGCCATAGTATGGGATTGCAGGCTGTATGATTTGCAAATTCTATTCCTGAGTAGAAGTACACCCCTGTTTTGGTGGGGAAAGACTGCTATGACTAAACTTTCATTTTCTCTTTTGTTCTCGAGCGTGTTGGCAGCTTCACTATTTCACCTCACTTCTGAGCACAGTTGGTAGATGGAGCTACATGCAGTTTGCAATTTTCTACCTTAGTAAATCCCTCGATTGATATATCAGTTGGCCAACAATACTGTGCCTATTATCAGCACCATTTCAGCATGAGTTACCGGCAGCATCCAAACTCACAATCTCCCAATACAGGCTGAACTTCATGGTAACCATCACTGTGGTAGTGCAAACACATCCAAATCTACACCTTAGCACATTTTAGCATGATAATAACATGATAAAACACACACAAGAACTTCTTTATGAAGAGAGCTAATGAAAATAAAGAGGTGATAACCATAAACCAAGTGCACAAAGCATTCTTTGCACCCAGGGCTACAATATATTGAAAGGAATGAGTTTCTGAGTTTAAGAAGTGCGATGAATGACAACTGACAATCATACCCGTCATCAAAATGCTGCTTAACCTAAACAATTGGAGTATAAAATTAAATAATATTATTATCATCAGTTATCTGAATTTTTAGCCCCCCTAAAATTGGTATTGGCCACAAAATTTTCATATCAGTCAGGCCCAAAACTCCAATGTCAATTTCAGAGCTCATATGACAGACATAGGCAACTCTGCTCTCAAATTTATATCCACCTCTTTTCTGTGCCTGTCTCCCTCTGCGACACTCATTAGGGGGCTGGACCTGCATTTCTGGGCAAGCTGTTTTAGGACAGAGTCTGTTGTCAAACAACTCTACACCAAATGAAACTGATATGAACAGAACATCAGGTGGGGTACAGAAGCTGTGAACTGCAAGCACACCCCATTGGAGTCATGGTTGAACGCTCGGCCCGATTGTGCCTCGCGGGACTCAAACCGAACAAGCAGTGCCCATCTGCTGCAGGGGAGAGCGAGGACTACAAGAAGGCCTCTCAGATCTTGCGTGTCATTTTAAGTCTGGCCAAGTCCATCTGCAGAGCAGTTTCACCAGCTTTAGAGCAAGCTGAAGCTCGTAAATATCTCCCCGAATTGTCTGAGTGATTTACAGGTAATTGACGGCTTTGCTTTGAGCAAACGTTGGAAACGAAAAGGGAACTTGTCAGGGGAGAGAGATCCCATCCTTATTGCTGTGGGATATTACCGTTTTTTATGACAGAAACCTTGGCATAAATATGCCGGTTTGCTGCCTGCCTACATGGCAAAAAAAACCCAGGCCTATTAATAATGCAGGGGCATTGTCAAAGGCGCCTAACGCCGGGCGACACCCGAATTCACCTTCAAAGCGGGTTTATTATGACTCACTCGGACGGGGCCATATGCAGGGACTTTCAGTTGTCCTTGTTTACCTCGGCGCGCTCCCCTGGCCGACGGTCTGACATTGCCTGCAGCGGCAAAGGAGACAGTCGGGAGGCAGCAGAATGCCTTTCGGAATACATAAGGCAGCCGTCAGCTTGCTGACAAGCAGAGGCAGGCATGTGAACGGCACGCCACCTCGCTGAGTGACACAGGGAGTGATGTGCACACACAAATATTTCGCCTGCTCTGCTCATTTCCCTCCTGACATCCCCCGTTAAGCCCACGCTCACGCTTTTAAATCTTCTTACAGCAGCTTTCATACATGTATTCTCTTAGATTTCACAGGTTCGCACATCGTCTGCAGCCGGCACGCCGGGGTCTTTGAGCCTACTGTTTACGGATGATAGCAGCGTAAGCCGCGTTCTGAAACTTAAACCCTGAATTAAGCGTTTTCCCCGCTCCAGCACACCTGATTCAACCTTGCCATGCGACTGACGAGCTGAATCGAGTGGAAAGGATCAGGGAGAACATGAAACTGCAGCCTTCCACGACTGTAGTCACAGGAAACACTGACGATCACTGTTTAAAACTCCTGTCTGAGGTCAGGATACACTGTATGCTGCCCATCAAAAGCTTGGGGACACCAAGATTTTCAAAATGTTTGACATAAAGTGTTGTATATCTGTTTGTAACAAGTTTGGACATAACAAGTTTTTGAAAAGAATAAAGGCTGACGTATAATGGGAAATAAATATTAATTTCTCGTCTTAAGATAGTATTAATCATGAAGTATTATTGATATTTCTTATCTGTGAATAAGAAAATTAATGAAAATGGTCTAAAATGTGTTTTGGAACAAACCCCTTCATATATGAACCATTTTCTTCATACGTTAGCATTTCCTTAAAGGTGCAGTGTGTAAAGATGTACTTGCATCTAGTGGTGAGGTTGCAGATTGCAACCATCTGAATCCCCCTGCCCTCACCCTCCCTTTCTAAGTGTGCAGTAGAGCCTATGGCGGCCGTCCCTTGTCCCGATTTTGTTTTGCTTCTTTGTTTTCGCATCTTTGATGATGAGGATTCACCCTCCATTGTTTTTTCTTGTGCTAGATAATAAGTGTGGTCCTCCATTTGTCAAAGTTTCTTGTTCTTAAAACTTCTCATAACACAAATAGTTAGCCAGCACCGGCAGCAAACACTGATTCTTTTTTCTGGCGTCCAACTGGTGCTACAGCGCCAAATTCAAGCTGCTGCTTCAATGAAAAAAATGCAAAATGCACCCTCTAGAGCCAGCGTTTGGTTTGTCCATTCCAGGCTACTGTAGAAACATGGCACCACAACATGGTGGCCTCTTTTGGAAGAAGACCCACTCCTTATGTACATGTGAAGGGCTCATTCTAAGCTAACAAAAACACAACAATTCAGTTACAGGTGATTAGTACCATTTGTATGGTATATTCCATTTATGCTAATAGATCACCCTAAATCTTACACACTGCACCTTTAAAGGGACACGCAGGCCTAAATGGAAAATGTAACCATCTGTTAACATGCCTACTCTTGCTTAGTTGTATTTATTAGCCCATAGATTAATGGCTAGCAATCATGACTGGATGACACCACAGGGATTTCCAGTGGTTGTGTGATGTATTTGCATAATGCATGCTGGATATTGTAGTGAAAGCACATCAAAAATATAAAAATGGTTTAAAATACATTCTGTCAAACAGATAAGGTGGAGGGATACAATGCTGTGCTACAGAATACTGTATAACATAATAAATAACAATAAACAGAAAACTTAAAAGTTAAAGTTGAAGTCAAACCTTGAAAATAACACCAAAGGCCACACATTTTATCCCTTTGTTGTGCCTTTAAACCCAACTACCTTTGAGCCAAACGACTTTCAGTATGTGCTTTGTGCAGTAGTAGAAAATGCTAAAGCTGAAAGCCAAATTTACCCAAAACATTAGCACATGTAATAGTTGTTTTCATGGTTGTTTTATGCTGGGAAAAAAAGTACATTTTGTTACTTTAAAGTTTCAAAAAAAGGCACAGCAACTAAAACACATCTCTAAATCAATTCTCTAAATTGCATACTGCACCTTTAATATCATATTTCTTTCCACCAGCCATATGGAGCAAAATAAGAATGCAAAAACCATAAGTGTGAAATGAATCTCTTTGTGAAAGCAATAATCTCACACTGCTATGGAAAACACTTTGAAAAATTGTATTTATAGAGACAGACGCAAGAGACAGTAATGAAACAGATTTATATGGTTTGGGTTTGTATGTACAGCATCATTAGAGGAGCATATTGTCATGAAAATGGTGCTACTGGCAAGATAAATGTGATGTCATATGCCATCCTTGTAGCATTCATAGCGCTCCACTGCAAAGACAGAGCCAGAGAGAGAGAGAGAGAGAGAGAGGGTGATAGAGAGAGGTGTGATGCGGATGGATGTTTTGTGTAATCTCCACCGCAATCAATCTTTCATTAAAGGGCCGATATGGAAGAATTGTCCTTAGCGACGCTCTCAGTGTGACAGTGCTGTGATTGAAGCCGGGGGGATGGAGAGATTCCTCTTCGGAAAGTCTTTAACTAAGACGGGCACCTGCGACGGGACTCCGTTAAATAACGCTATCAGTCAATCAGACAAGCAAATTAGCGCTGCAGTCCCTGAAGCAGTGTGTTTAGCAGATAAGAGGCGAAACGCTTTAACCGTTAAAGGGAGTCTTTTGGTGGGGAAAAGAAGCATCGATATCGCCTTTCAGCTGCATTGATTTACGAATGTTGATTATAATCGACTATAATAATAAAGTGTGGGCTCATTAGCTTGTAGATGGGGTAAAAAAAGTACTTTTATTATCTATGTTAGTTTAATAGCTCATCCACTCAAATTTGTGTTGTTTTTTTTTATCGTAGGTGTTCCACATTCAAATAGAATCTAATTGTGGTGAGATTTCATGATTCTGTATCGTTTACTAAAGAATCGTAACCGAATCACATCAAATCATTTTAAAAGTTGGGATTTCATGATGCACTGAATCATTTCCTAAAGAATCATAATAAAGAATCATAAATCTTAATAAAATTTGAGATTTATTATGCATTGTTTCTGAAAGGATCAATTTCGATTTAAATGTAGTGAAATCTGAAACTTCATATGCATTGATTAAAGAATCATAATCAAATCAAATCATGGTGAAATTTGAGACTTCTTGAGGCATTCTTCTTAAAAAATTCTGACTGAATTAACTTGAAATGTGGTGAAACTGAAATTTTACATGCACTGAATCAATCAAAGCAAATAAAATTGTGGTAAAATCTGGAATTTCATAATGCACTGAATAATGTTCTAAAGAAACATAATTGTATTGGACAGAATTGTGGAGAAATTTGAGATTTCACAATGCAACGAAAAATGTATTAAAGAATCAAAATGTGATTGTGTCAAATTGCAGTGAAAATCTGAGAACTCACAATGCACTGAATCATTTAGCTAAAAGAATCACATTCAAATTGAATCTTATCTGGCACTGTTTCCTAAGGAATCATAATCAATTTGAATCAAATTGTAGTGAATTTCGAGAATTTGTGATGTACTAAATCATTTATTACAACTATAATCAAGTAACAGAGGTGAGGTCTGGGATTACATGATGAATTGTTTCCTAAAGAATCATAATCAAATTAAATCAAATCATTGTGAAATTCGAAATTTCACGATGCGCTGAATCATTTGCTAAAGAATTGTAATCAAATTGAATCTAATCAAATTGTGGTAAAATCTGAGATTACATAAGGAATTGCCTCCTAAAGAATCATAATCAAACTGAATCAAATCATCAAATTATTTGAGATCTGATGAAGCACTGTTCACTGAAGAATCAAAATCTAATTAAGTTGAATTGTGGTGAAATTAGAAATTTCACAATGCAATGAATCGCTTGCTAAAGAATCATAATCAAATTAAATCAAATCACTGTAAAATGTGAAAGTTTCATGATGCACTGAATCATTTGCTGAAGAATTATAATCAAATTGAATCTAATGAAATTGTGGTGAAGTCTGAGAATACATGTGGAGTTGCTTCCTAAAGAATCATAATCAAATTGAATCAAGTCATCAAATTATTGGAGATTTAATGAAGCACTGATCACTGAAGAATCATAATATAATTGAACTGAATTGTGGTGAAATTAGGAATTTCACAATGCAATGAATCACTTGCTAAAGAACCGTAATCAAATCGAATCTAATCAACGTAGTTAAGTCTGACATTCCACGGTGCATTTCTGTTGTAACTGAATCAAACCAAGTCACTCGAGATTCCTAAAGGAGAGTTTTCTGACTAAATGTAATCGTTGAGAGATTTATGCCTCTGTTATCTCCTTGTGCTGTCAGACACTGTGTTACTTCATATTCTCTTCTCACGTCTAATATTTCCCAAGGAGGAACAGGACGCACTGCATCTCTCTCATAAAATTTTGAATCCTGAAATGTCACGAAAACCAAATTTCATTTCCAGAGTTGGCGGCCCGGCCTGTCCCCGAAGCGAAGTGCTCAAAGGCCCGTTTAATTTTTGAAAAACGTGACACATAAAAAGTTCCCGTCCCATTCTGAGCCGGGAGCGTGCTGGGCACAGAGAGAAGGAGGACAGAGTTCCTCGCAGTGCCGCTGTGATCTGAATGTAAAATCTCCCCCAGGGCTCTCTGCTCACACACAGCGCTGTGGAGGACGCGATAGGACAACAGCGGCGGTCCTGACGGATGACTCTGACAATCGCTGATTATCCCCCGATAGAGTGCAATGCCCACGATGTAATAACTCTGACAGTGCGTCAGAATAGATATCCGTCCTAATGGAGGGACGCAGAGAAAATGGTGATTTTAATATGATGTTCTGTGGATTAAAGACCTCAGGTAAAACAATATTGCAGAGAAGGAAGTTCTCATGAATTAAAAATGTCAGTGAATGGGCTTTGACTGTGTAAAGTTTTGAATTCCTGCCATAGCGTGGAATTATTTTCAGCAGACAAAGCCTTATTTGGTCAAAAACCTTCTTTAAAAGAGCACAGGTTAATTAGTTTTACGGTAAGTAAGAAAAGAGCACAGTGGAAAAAATCTGGATTAAGCCAGTAATTTAACTCAGCTGCACTGGCCACTTTATTCGACACACCTTGTACTTCCAGTCTCTCGTGTAGCTTCACTCACTGGCTACTTTATTAGAAACACCTCCTTGTACTTCCACTCACTGGCCACTTTATTAGAAACACCCCTTTGCCCTTCCATTCACTGACCACTTTATTAGAAACGCCGACCTTGTACTTCCACTAACTGGCCAATTTATTAGAAACACCTACCTTGCACTTCCACTAACTGGCCACTTTATTAGAAACACCAACCTTGTACTTCCACTAATTGGCCACTTTATTAGAAACACCAACCTTGTACTTCCACTCACTGGCCACTTTATTAGAAACACGTCCCTTGCACTTCCACTAACTGGCCACTTTATTAGAAACACCTACCTTGTACTTCCACTAATTTGCCACTTTATTAGACATGCCTACCTTGCACTTCCACCTACTGGCCACTATATTAGAAACACCTACCTTGTACTTCCAGTAATCTGCCACTTTATTAGAAACACATACCTTGCATTTCCAATAACTGGCCACTTTTTTAGAAACACCTACCTTGTACTTCCACTAGCTGGCCACTTTATTAGAAACACCTACTTTGCACTTCCACTAACAGGCCACTTTATTAGAAACACCTACCTTGCACTTCCACTAACTGGTCACTTTATTAGACACACCTACCTTGTACTTCCAGTCTCTGCCCCCTTTATTAGAAACACCTACCTTGTACTTCTATTCTCTTGCCACTTTATTAGAAACAATGACCTTGTACTCTCACCAATATTTTTTATATGTTAATGGTGGAGAGGAACACATACGCCGTTGTTAGGCAAAATATTACCAAAGAAAAAACACTATTGTACTGTTACAACTATTACACAAAAAAATGAGAGGACACATGAAGGTTCACTTGTTGTTTTGGATAGCAAATAAAATGGCTATATAACCAGGTGACTTCTGGTTCCTATCACCACCACTGTAAAGACAATTTATAACTTCAGTATGTTTCTCTGCAACAAGCCGTTCTGCATCAAATCACTCTGAAAGACTTAGTTTACATCTCAGTGAATGACAACCTGAGCTGTAACGTTGCTTTTGTTGCCAAATAAACAAAACTGACCAGATGTTAAAGGAATACACCAGTGTTTTTCAACCTAATCTCAATCTGCTGCTACAGTATTGCACGATCAGTTACCGCAGACTGTCATTTTGACACATTAGAAATGAACCAAAAAGCCACTTCTAATAGAAACCAATGGGCAGATGCAGATGTGGCAGATGTGACATTCCTTATTCTCCTTCTAAAAAGTTACCATTTCATATATGCAAGGTGTTCCTACAGCAGCAATATAAAGACAGGTGTGGGTCATTTGTGCCGAAGCATGAGACGCAATCAATCTCTCTGTTTCTCACCTGTGAATTAAATCGCAGTTGGCACACGTTGCAGGAGGCATGTTTCTTTTTAGCGGAAGCGGTGACGCCAAACGTGTGATGTAGAACAGCTTTCTGAACCGGGTCCATCTGCAGGAGGGAGAGAGAGGCAAGAAGAAAAGAGAGAGAATTAGAGAGAGAGAGAGAGGAGAGAAAGAGGGGGCAGTCTAATTAACATCACAGCAGCAGATAGTCTTCCAACAGAGAGATAAAACGGAGCTCGAGGCCTTCCTGAAAAAAACAGAGGTGCCCAGGTTGCGGTGCAGGGTCTGGAGAGAATTACGGGTCCATAACGCAGCCGTCCTTTTCACACATACCCCGCAATCACCGTGGTGCAGTGTGCGAAAGGATCGCCGCCTTGCTGTGGTTGTCATGGTGAACCCAAATCAAAATTATACTCCTTGGAAAAAGTCTATTCAGACTGCAGGTGCACACGTGAGCACTAGTACACAGTATACAAATCATACTACATCATATGCACTCTTCATTAAGCTCAGCTCCTCGTATCAACACTCGTCCATTTTATCAGCTCCACTGACCATAGAGGAGCACTTTGTAGTTCTACAATTACAGACTGTAGTCCATCTGTTTGTCTGAGTACTTTGTTAGCCCCCTTTTACTCTGTTCTTTAATGGTCAGGACCCCCACAGAGCAGGTATTATTTGGGTGGTAAATCATTCTCAGCACTGCAGTGACACTGATGTGGTGGTAGCATATTAGTGTGTGTTGTGCTGGTACGAGTGGATCAAGGATGAGCAGATCATGGCGGAAAAAACTGGTCACATTGTCATTACTGAGCATCATCAAAACGCAACAATGAACATCAACTGAACTATTTTTGAATCAATTCAATTGAACTACACTGGCCACTTTATTAGAAACACCTACACAACCCAAAACATACAGGCAGTCAGTGCATTCCTTTCTAAATGTGGGTGAGAAGAGCTCTCTGTTTTGGTTAGAATCCGTGCTGCTGCATTTTGTATGAGTTGTAGGGGATTACAGTAGATGGAGCATTACAGTCATCAGCTCTGCTCATAACAAATGCATCAACAAGTTTCTCTGCGTGGCTCTGAGATAGAAAAGGCTGAACTTTGGCAATATTTCTCAAATGATAAAAACCTACTTTACTGATTGTGTTTACACACAGGATAAAGCAGAGCTCAGAATCTAAGACCATACCCACGTTTTGTACTTTAGGTCTGGAAAGAAAAGTTTTAATACCAGCTAAACACTTTCACTAATAACTGTTTTAAGTCTAAGTTCTCAAAAGATGTCAAAAAGGAAAAAGTCTTCAGATGCTGAGTTTGTGGAAAAGGGAAAAAGGCTTCGTCTTTATTTCATCAAGTGGTCTCGAGAGACCCAACTGCGCAAATATAGTGTTCCAAACAGCAGTTTATATACCGTTTATCTGGGGTAATTTGATATCTGTAACGGCTGATGAATGTTCAGACAAGCGCAGAGCAGGCTATAGTAAAAAGTTTTTTTTTTATAGGCTCGGTAATGCACAGGGACGTAACAATACTTCACAAAGACAAAGCACTAGTAGACAAACATTTATAGTCCTTGAAACAGGTGTAAACAATCAATACTCAGGTGAGCACAAACGTTGGTAGGTGGATGGCTGAGAGTTTCTGATCATGTGACCTCCCAGTGAATTCTGGGAGTTGGAGTGCTGGAGTTGGAGTGAGGGATGTCGGTCTCTGCTACAGAAGGCGTGACAATATCCCCCCACCTTACATCTCAAATTTTGATATTAGCTCATTCTCTAATAGGTGCATCTCTTCGTCCATCAATTTGGCCATCGCATGATGAGCTCACTCCTCAAAACTGGCTTCAACAGGTTTTTACCAGCCTGCTCTACCTTTCAAGGTCAACTTGTCCCTCTCTTCACTGGGTCAGTAGGTACACACAGGACTCTCAATGAACCCAAGGGCGTTCCAGTGTCTAGAATCTTCTATGCAGACAGACTAAGGCCGACCCTTTGTGAGAGAATTCATATTCTCTGTTAGCCAATACTACCTATTTGGTTATTGATTACAATATCTAATCTTTTTGATTACTGATTAAGGGAATATTTATTCAAAATCTTCGTCAATATGAAGCAAAAGAGCAGAGCTTTCCATAAAGCAGCTTTCTCTGAGTTTTGGTACCAAGATTCAGTATTTCCATTTTTGCATGATTTAGTTGTTGGAAATTTTGTGACATCCACTGAGAAACACCTGACACACAGCTGGTCAGCCTGTCAACAGAGTCTTGATTATCAGAAGGAACAGAGGTGTATAATTGTGTGTCATCAGCATAGCTATGAAAATGAATATCATGTTACCTAATGACAGTACATGACAGGTAACGTAAAAAGTGAAGAGCAGGGGCCCTAAAACTGAATCTTATGGGACTCCACAAGAAATTTTATTTTATTATAGTTTTTTGCTGAATGACTTTCCAGTGAAATCAAGAACTGTCTATTTATTTAATATGATTTAAACCATTCCAAAACGTTGCTTAAGAGGCCTAACCAGTATTCAGAATGGTGGATAAGAAGTCAACAGTTTCAAAATCTGCAATAAGATCCAACAAATCCAAAATAGAAAGATTTTGTACATCAGTTCTAAGTCTAAAGTAGCTAGCTGGTGGATGTAGTGTATGCATAGGCGTTTTGTGTATGCATAAAAACAACACAAACAGGTTGCGTCTTTAGACTGAAACAGCCATATTCCAATGCGTAAGTACTGTACATTTATTTGCTATCATACCTCATCCAGAATGAATATGCACCTGCGCACTCAGCGAGAGCTGTTCAGCTTTAATGGAAAACTGAAATGTGCTGCAGCTGCCTGTTTACAGTGATAAACTTCCACCAAGTGAGACGAAATGAGAGCGATGCACTCGCTCATTGCCCACACCATTGCTCACTTCTCATTCACTCTATGACCTGCTCATTCCCTGGGCCTGTAACAGCGCTCTGACTCTTCAGCCTTGTCGGACATATTCAGGGAAAGGAAGCCTGTCCATGTGTCTGTCTCTTTTTCTCTTCACATGGATAACTGGAGCTGGAGGCACGAGCTACAGGGCTGTTTTATGCTATAAGCTGTGTAAGCAGTGGCCCCCAATGGGCCCCTTGAGTATGTATTTCTGTCAATACTGTCAGAAAAAATCATTCAGAAAGATATCCAAAAAAAGATCCCCCGAAAAATCAAAAACGCAGAAATGATGCACTCATCGCTTAAACACAAATTATAATTGATTTTATTTGCTATTTGTTTACAGAGATTATTTTGCTGTTTAAAAATTCTGTTTCCCTGTTTTATTATGTTTCCTTATCATTTATTAAACTTACGAAACTAAAATATTAATTCATAGTATGATTATGAATTGAATGGGGATAATGATAAGTGAATAGGGATCTCCAAGCACAATTAGGGTGCCCAAATGTTCAAAAATGGCCCGTTGGTGGTTTGGGTTGCACCACACAAACTAGTTTTAACATTGCACTTATTAGCAACTACATACAGTCAGGTCCATGAATATTTGGAGGCTGGCATTGTTATTGTTATTTTAGTTGTCTAACACAGCATATTGGAGTTTACATTAAAATGCAGACTTAGTCAGCTTTAATTTGAGGGTACTTACATTCCAATCAGTTCAAAAGTGTAGGAATTACAAGCATTTTCATACCATTTTTAGGGGCTTAAAAGTAAATGGACAGTTGGCTGCTCAGCTGGTCCATGGCCAGTCGCTCACAGTTGCAAAAAAAGTTAATTAGCTTATGTTAGAATGTTAACATTCCATGGCCAGTTGTGTGTTATTCCCTCATTATCTCACACACAAGTAACCAGATAAAAGGTCTGGAGTTTTCAACTGTGGCATTTGCATTTGGATTCTGTTGCTATTAACTCTCAATATCAAATCTCAAGATGTCCAAGCCATCAACTAAAAGATCAAAACAATTCTATTTAGTACATTCTTAAAAGGAAAGAATGCACTGGTCAGCTCTGAAACACCAAAAGCTCCAGAAAATCACAGAAAACAAAATACAGAGGGTACACCACAAGACATAAATCATTGGTAAGCCTTTAAAAAACAGGAAGATTAGAGTTCGTCCAACTTGTATCTGAATGAGGAAAAGAGAAGACTGTGGAGAAAGGATTGAACTGCTCATGATTCAAAGCATGCTGCTTCATCTGTGAAGCATGGTGGAGGTAGTGTTATAGCCTAGGTACGTATGGCTGCCAAAGGAACTGGTTCCCTTGTGTTTACTGATGATGTGACTGCTGACAAAAAGTAGCAAGATGAATTTATACACATGATGAAATTCACTGGACAGTGCTTTACAGTGCAGATGGACAATGACCCGAAAGCATACTGCAAAGACTTATTTTTACAGCAAAAATGTAGAACGTTCTGCAATGGCCAAGTCAATCAACTAATCTTAGTTCAACCAAGTCACTTACTGAAGGCAAAACTTAAGGTTAAACGCCCCCTAAAACAAGCCGGAACTAAAGACAGCTGCACTAAAGGCCTGGCAGAGCATCAAAAGGGAAGAAACCCAGCATCTAGTGATGTCTATGGGTTCCAGACTTCATCCAGTCATTGAGTGCAAAGGATCTGCAACCAAGTATAAAAAAAACAAAAGGTTTAATAGATTTATGATTATGCTAGTTTGTCTAATTACTTTCGAGCCCCTAAAACTGGGGATAGATGTATTAAAATGGTTGAAATTCTTACATCATTTACCCAATTTGGTTACAAATACACTCAAATTAAACCTGAGAGTCATTTTGAACATCATGACATCATCACATGAACATCACCAACTTTACCACTGTTTACGTGAGACTTGCTTGTTGTAAATTCAGAACGTCATAGCTTTACAAGTTAAAGAGGTTCGTCCAAATTCACAACCAGTTAGTTTCTCTAGCTACAGCTTCACTTACAGATTGCTGGTGGACCCGAATTTAGTAAAACACTAGATCGAAACTAACTGGTAGTACCTTAAGCCTTCATGAAAACTTTACGTGCAAACTCAATCATGAACTTGCACATAACCAGAGCACCCCAGGCTTGTACTGTAGGCTGATCTGACATCA